AAAAAAAAAAAAAAAAAGAAAAAACTTGATATCGGATGATAAACGAAAAATGAAGATAACTCGTATGGATTATACCTAACTCCCATACAGGGAGTAGGTAAGAAACTTTAGAATATCAAAAATTCCGTTGTACCTTCGCAGCGGATTCTACGAATAAATGTTTCTATTGTATACTTGTCATTGTTCGACTCTTCATTTCCCCTTTACAACAAAATTACAATGAACAATTATTCTCACACTCGTACACACACAGAACATTTTACGTGAGTAATTTGTTTTGGAAAATACAGTTATAGTGTACAGATAATCTATGGCAATAGTCATACGAATACTATTATTAATATTAATTATTTTTAATTTCAATCCATGAATGCCTAATGCTTTCGTATATAAATGAAAAAGCAGGATATTTACAAAAATACTGTATATTTGAATGTTCCGTTCCTTAATACAAACAAGTACTTCAATTCTATACATTTGTTCCTATAATTTTTTCCCTGATTTCTTCAATATAGAGATAAATTATCCAATTTTGTAAGAAGCTGTTGATCTAGTTGACGAAATTCGAAAGCACATTGATTTCGTTCAGTTTGAAGATCGATCTCGTGGTACAGTAAAGATTCTAAACACAAGGTAAGTCTTAATCTTCCATATGCTTCAATTTTAGTAAAATAATTTTTCGCCTTTGAGAGTGCTTTAATAGCTTTTAAGATTACTCCTTTTCGCGTTTTTTCACACATTGGAGCAGTAGCAACTAAACATTTTGCATATAAAACAAACGCTCTACCTTGATCATAATATCCTCCATGTGCTAAAATTTGCGTAATTGATTCTTCTACTAAATTTAATGCTAAAGTCGGCATACCCATTATTAACTAAAACATCAATGAAAACTAATATAACACTATTGCACGTTATAGAAATATAACAATACCTTTAATATCTTCAAGTAAGCGAATGATACATTAGTTAATTTAATTACCTGAATGTTTGCAAGATGCATTTTTATTAACGCTTTATAATAAGATAAATAATTTTTTATTGCCAATTCTAGTGCCCTATTTAAAAGAACCAACGAATTAACTCCTACAATTCCACTCTCTGGTGAAACAGAAGCACACATTATTTGACTTAATAAAATCATAGCTCTTATTTTATTTTGAGGTGTTAATTGTTCATCTTTTTCAATGTTATCAATATATTCCAATCCTCTTGGATAATCTCCTTTTTCCAAACAAACTTCTGCTAATCTAAACATTCAAATTCATAAAAATACATATAATCTTGCATAATGTAAAGAGATATTAGACATATTTTAAAATATTAGACATATTTTAAAATATTACTATACCTAAATTTACTTTCTAAAGGATCTAAGCTTGAAATATTTAACGCAATTGCTTCAGCCTCACCCCATTTTTCTTGTCTCATTAATTGTGTGAACACATAAAGTTGCTCACTTAACATCCAGATCTATGAAACAAATGTAAAAAAAAAGAAAATTAAAAAGACTTCATTGTATGATTCATTCAGTTAAATATAATTGAGCATCTAACATCTGTAAATACCTTGTTACATGGTTCATTAGGGAATCTTTCTTTAGCATGAGCAATCACAATGTCAACTAAAAAATATTCTCCAAATTCTACTAAGATATTTGCAATATTAACAACAGCTTGGCAAGTAGATGGTCCATTAAACATATGCTGCTTCTTATCACCTGTATTATGTAAAAGTAATAACTGAGCACAGACTGAAGACATCTCAGTTTTACCATAATACGCCCATAACGCAGATTTCTCCGCATACGTCATTGACATTAAATCTATCATAGAATGCTGACAATTTAAAACATCAGATTTCATCAACGTCTACAATTAAATATTGAAAACAATTTAATCTTGAATAAAGTTTCGTTCGCATTAAATGCATTGAAAACTAGATTGAAAAAAATACCTCAAATACTTGAGATGGATTCTTAGCTTCTAAAGCAGAATTATGAGCATACGCGATAAGACCTAATCCAGTTGTATGAGTTATTCCTAACATACTTGCTTTACCAACTGACCTTTCTATCAATGGTCCTCTAAATTATAAAATATGATAATATAATTTATATATATCAATATATATACATATATATATATATATCAAAACATGTCAAGAAATATATTAATTTACTTTTGTTTGGAAGTCAAATGATACATCCAAGCATGTGCTAATTGCAAGCAGACATTGTCTCCAGCTTCTTGAGCCATCATAATAGCTTCTTTTAAAGCAGCTTGTGCTACTTCTCTTAAATGAAAATGAGATGACAACATAAATTCTATACGAAATTTTTAACTTCTTAATTTATATAAAAACGCACTTATGATTAAATTGAGCATGTAAAACTGCTAAATTTAAAGCTGCATATCTGAAAATACGAGATTTATCTTCAGGCGTAGAACGATTTTCCAAAGGTGCTAATCTATCAAAGCAATGATAAAGACTATCTATAGCTCCACAATATTCATTGACCCGTAAACAGTTTAAATAACTTAAATAATGCTGAAACATAGATATAAAAAACATAAGATGTGTAATTGCATTTTTTTTTAAATATAAACAGAGGATATATGATACTCACAGCTTCAGCATAATAAGGACTACAACTTAAAAGTTCTCGTACAAGACTTTGCAGCTCTGCAGGAGGCATTGCTTTATGTTCATCTGTTTGTATAGTATGTGCTTGCTGTGCAACAAGTAATTCAGCTTGTCTTCCACCCCATGTTGTTTTAATTCTATTGAAGTATAAAGAAATTGTAAAATACATATCCAATAAACAAGTTACAGTTCATAAATATAACAAATACATACTCATTTGAATATAAATTTTCTGTTTTCGAATCTGGAGATATATCAGAACCATCAAAAGTATTAATTCTTTTATCTAAGTATTTCTTCAAAGCTTCGTAAAGAGCTACAACTTGATCAAAAGGTAATTTTTCAAAAAAGATGATAACTCTTCTTATATATAATCCAAGCACCGAATTTTTATTTAAAGCAGGTAAAGAAAGAGAGTGATCCAATGTTGGTTTCATAAGGCGTCCAACATTATCAAATAAATCTAATAATCCTTCAACTCCTTTTCCCGTCAACATATTCAATTGCACTTCCATCTGACGTGCGAACCGATGTAAAATATATTCGGGGGAATGTAATATATTTAAAAGTGTATTAAGATCCATATCAGGAGACTAAAAGAACATCAAGAAATTTCTTTTATTCAATATACTTGAAAGATTAAAATATACTTTATAGTAGTGAAATATTTAATTTTGTCTAATATATCGAATGCTATAATAAAATACTATATTTTAATACTTTCGATATATTATTTAACATTTTACTAATAAAAATGTTTACTTGAATCAATTTCAATGCAATTAAACAAAAATCACGTCTCTCCACAATTGCTGCAACAAAATATTAATATTAATAGCGACATTAATGATACATGATTATTGTATTTGTAATGAACTTACATTCTGATGTTTATAATAATTATACATTACCTTTCGTTGTTTCATTACAATATTCTTTAATCAAAATAACAGTTGCTATTTTATAAGGTGTCAAAGTTTCTTTCTGCACTCTTTTTATGTTGCCATCGATATTTATTAAATCCGTAGACATCCTGATTAATGTATTATTACATTTATTCCAATAACTATACAATTCACATTTTAAAAGGTGTATTAGTTTGGTACCGATGCATTTTTATGTCACACCATTGATTAAAGATAGAATAAAATGGACATGAAGTGGGATTTTGTGTCTCAGAATCTGAAATATCGACCAGCAAAAAAATCACTGGTATTTTGGCGCACTTTGTATTTAGATCACAGACGAAGTCTGTAGTCTGTAGTATGAAACACGAAAAAGCATTGGTTGTTCAGTCTATCCTAGTTAGACAATGGTGATAAGAATAACAATTAATTCCATTATTTCACCACTACGCGGCGGTAGTATTTCAAAGATCGATTAAATTTTCATATCCAAAACAAACTAATTAAGAGAATTAGTACAAAATACGTACATCAAAATTTAAAAATTTTACTTAATAAATCGAAATATTGAAATAATATTTAATTTCTCCCATACAATGTCATAATTATATCATGTAATCAATGCATTGAATTTCATGTATATTCTGTATCTTGTTTGCATTTC